AGAGAGAGAGAGAGAGAGAGAGAGAGAGAGAGAGAGAGAGAGAGAGAAAGAGATTGGATGACTATCAAATGCTTCTTGCAAACATAGCCTGTAAAGCTGTTTATTCAGCAGCATGCGATTTGGACAGTGGGAGTTCATCAGACAGCAAGGATTAACCCCCTAATTTGTTTCTCTTTTTCCTTTTGGAAAGGGATAGACTGCTGTGAATTCCATGTACTTAGCTTGAGATGCCAAACTTGATTGGAAACTATTAGACTGACTGGTGACCAAAACATGAAGCAGGGGCAATTCATTGTTTTCCCACTCTTCATTGATCCTATGTGATAAGGTTTTCTTTACATTTAAAAGAGGTAAAAATATATTACAGTACATTTGCCATAGCTCCCATATTAATCTCCTTATTATTTTACCCATTGTACCAAGTAACACTTTTTTTTGCCCATCCATCTATCCACCCATCCATCCATGCATCCATCCATCCAGTCAATTATTATTGGGTATTCACTATATGCACGGAAGGCATATTTTCAAAGCACTGTTTCCCTGGCCAAGCTAAGAAGATCATGAAAGATTAGATGCTCTGACTTAGTTTGATTCTTCCAAAGCACAGCCTAAATATGTTATTGATTGCAAGTAGTTTATTTGATGGGTGACGCTAGAAAGCAAAGTGAAGTGGGAGAAAGAAAGAGGGAAACAATAAAGGATAGATAAGGAAGTGGGCTACTGGGCTCAGTCCTCCTGGGGATTTTTGGAGAAACTTTGTAGAGCAAGCCTCAGAATTGTTACAATAAAGGAAAGTGGAAGTGTTTATCCATTGACTCTGTTTGTCACTGGTTGTGAGTTATCCTGGGGGCACTAATTTCTTTCTATTTGCAGAATGCCTTCCCAGCTTTGCAAGCCCTATACTAAAGAAGCCCTCAGGCAGATGCAAACGATAAGGGCATGCACGGGTTATGTTCTGCCAGGCTGCAGGTGAACTCAAAGGTGGGCCCAGGGACTGTGGGATGGACATTCACATCTGGTTCAAGCTGTGTAGCTATCCCAACTGGCTTAAATGGAAGTGCATGGTAGTTTTCCATTTTCTAGTAAAGAATGCCAGAGTAAATATTTATTCTATTTCATGTGCAGAAACACAGCCCTATATGTAGAATTGGACTTACTCATTTCCCAAATATGTATGGTGTCCTTTCTCTATAATATCTTTTCATCAGATTTATGGAGACAGGGAAAATATTGTAACTCAAAGTTCTATTGCACCAAGCATGGTGGCATGCACTGCAATCCCAGCACTCTGGGAGGCTGAGTCAGAAGGATTAAAAGTTCAGGACAACCTGGCCAACTTTACAACTTAGCAAGATCCTGTCTCAAAATAAAATATGAAAAAGGGGCTGGAGATGTATGTCTGTGAAGGCGCTGGGTTCAATCCCCAGTACCACAAAAAAGTGCCACTACAAATGTCACTGTATTGACATTAATCATGCCCATTTGATGTATTATCTATCATTTAAAAAGAATATTTTGCACCTCCTATGCAGTGATTGTTTTCTCTTTATTTTTTAACCAAGGATGATTATTATCTGTGTAATGCATAACTCTTCTAATGGCCAGTATAGTCTGCCTTATACCATTTACTTCCTAATTATGGTTGGTCAGTAAATAGACACAATTCAAAAAAAGGTGACATGGAAGCCCATCATTCAGAAAAGGGGAAATAGATGTATAACCAACAAGACACCGTATCTTAAGTATTGAGTGCCTGACTTTCTGAGTTTAATTTACCAGGTACTATTGAACTGATTAAATTTTTTAAAAAGTCTTCTGTGTGTATTAATACTTTCAAGTATCATAGTTTAAATGCTATCTATTTTGAGTTCATTAGAAATATTTTCATTAACCTTTCTAATTGAATTGATCTTGTTCTTTTCTGTTTTTAACCTATCCATGGACCCTTTTGTATAATAACTTCTACTGTATACATCACTGGTCTAGGAACAAAGGTAATTGTAAATGACTGATATGTGGGAAATATTTATTGAATAAATGAAATAAATCTACTTTGGATTTATATCCAAGAACAAGTACAGATGAACCATAACAAAAATTAGTAAATTAACCTTTTGTGGTCCATTTATAGATACTTCGTTATCATTTCTCAAATACATACCATGTTATGTCAAGAATACCTTTCTTTTCTCTCAAGTTATTAAAATGTTATTCAACTTTTAAGACCAGGCATAATTGTCTTTTCTTTCTTTCCCAATTTATTCTACACCAGTGCTTCTTACACTTGACTGAAGTTAGGGAGCTATTAAAAAATCTCTTTGTGCCACATATACCCCAGATTATTTGAATCAGAGCCTTTAGGGGGATAGAATCCAGGCCTCTTCATTGTTAAAAACTCAGGTGGTTACAATGTGCAGCCAAAGTTGAGAACTACCATCGTATCTGGACATGATTATTCTTTTCTTTGAAAAACTTTGATTGTACCTCTTAAAGATAATTGTAATTGGTGTTGTATTCTGATTCAAGATACTTTGAAGATCAGCTAACCCAGCCAGCCTTCCAGTTCTTAGACACTTCTGCCTATCTTGTGGTCAACCCGTTTGAATACCCACAGTCACATGGAACTCACTGCCAATGCAGCCGTGTCAATCCATGGACAGCTCTGACCAATTCAGAGCTTCAAGGTGTTCTTTTTTTGTACCAGTTTTGAGCAAGGACAGGGGAATCTTCCTAACAAGTTTTTAAAAAGTATTTGAACAACCTGTCCATTCTGTAAATATTTACGGAATGCCCAATATGTAGATATTTGTAGATCTCATTGGAAATAAAAGTGCAGGTTTCTAGGAGATTTGGAGAGTCAGTCCCATTTCTATAAGCAAGTTATGTTTGTTGCTGTTTTTGTTGTTTAATCTGCCATGCTTTTTTACTTAAAAAATTATCCAAGGTTGGAACAGTAAAAGAGCAAATGGGCTTAAACTACAGCATGAGAAATTTAGGTAGCAGACTGATGACCATTAAACTTTGGGAGCAGTTTTCTGAGTAAGGTTGTGGAATTTTTCCTTGAGGCTCTAAATATGACATCCTCTCATGTGACTCCATTTATATTCTGCCTCCAGGCAAAGGGCAATGCCCCATTACTTCTCAGAGATACTTTTGAGTCATTCTAAAGTGCCTGAATTAGGTCACCCTGGGGAAGGCAGATGAATGATTCAGATACTTTTTTGACTCACTGATGTTTTGGGGGAAAAATAAACGAGGTTGCTTTCCTTCCTCCTGTTCCCCACCATGTAAGTGCCCAGATGAGGTCTCTGGGGAGAATCTTGAACAAGCAGTGTGTTGATTGTGCCAGTTTCCTAAAGCTGAAGTTTTCACTGGGAAACACAGCGCTTTAAGGGTGGGCCTTATCCACTTACCCCAACCTGGAAATACATCAGACTCATTTTACACTCCAGAAGCCAAGCTAGGTAAGATGCTTTCACCACTCTCCCTTGTCTGCTATGACACCAGATCCTCCCTTCCTTGAAACACACCCAACTCTAAAATGATTGGCATTCCTTCTAATCTCAGAGTGCAGAATTTGCACTCTGGTGATTGATTCTGGTTCATTCCTCCAGTCTGCTCTGCTTATCCCATTCCTTGCATTATGCTATGACATAGGTGTGCTCTCCTTCAATTGTATCAGTGTTAAAGCAGATGACAAGCACTGAAAACACGCAGGGTCAGGCCAACAGTCCCATGCCACTCAAGTTCATCGTGCTGCTTTACAACCAACCCCTTACTCAATTCATTTTATGGGTTGACTGTGCCCATCTTACTCTCAGGAAGCATTCTCTTAAAATCATAAGACAGGGAGTGAGGGAAAAGTGCTCTTTCATTTCCATACCCTGGGGCATTTATGCACTAATAACCTTCCTGCTTTGTGCTTTTCAAAAGAACATAAACCAAAGCAATTAAATTAAATGGAGTTAACATTGGCATGGTAGCATAAATCAAATGTCATGAAGTATTAAGGGGTTAACGTTTCTTTCTTATGAACTGACTGGTATCTGCCTACTCTAAATTAAGAATAAGTCAAACATTTGACCTCGATATAAATGAGGATACAGAGAGAGAGAGACAGAGAGAGAGAGAGAGAGAGAGAGAGAGAGAGAGAGAGAGAGAGACTGACCTTGTGTTTGGCAGCAGATAGGCAGACTTGTGATTTGTGGAGGAAACATGTTCATCAGATGCTTGTCTCTTTGCCTCTCAATCAGTTCTCCTGCTCCACAGTTCCAGAGCTGAAAGCAAACAGCCTGGGGTGTTTAGGCTGCACTCACTGGGCTGTGCTCTGTAGAGTCGCCACATTCTCCACATGGCTGACTCTCCCAGGGAAAAACAGAGGCCCCCTCTTCACTTTGTTCATGGACTGAAAGCCACTTGCAGGATGGGCTTCCAAAGTTCACACTCTGATAAAAGAAGTTCTACTCCGAGAGTCTGAGGGCAGCACATCAGAAGAAACAATTTGTTTGGATTTGAGTCTGACTTTAATTTCAGGAGCCTATTGCCTGAAGGCTTTCTGCTGAGTCTGAAAACAAACAAAATATAAACTCCTCAACCCAGGTTGTTCTGAAGGAATTTTAAATTATTTAAAACCTGCATCTTTCATCACACCTTACTTTCGGTGAGAAGATGCTCTCCCCCACCACCCCGCACCTTCATTTATGCATGCTTTCTAAGAGCTATTAACAAGCACTGATATTAACAGCCGGCTCAGGCTCCACAGGGATAAAAGATCCTTCTGGTTTACGCCAGCAGTATTTTAACATCCCAGGAGTTTTGTTTCTGTTCCCTGGGGTGGGATGGGGAAGGACTAAAATTGCCTAGAGAGAAACTTCCAAAGACAAAAAAATAAAATCCATGACATTATATTATTTCAGCACATGGAAGGCCTTATTTAAGCCCTGGAGAGCAGATGTGAACCACTGTATTGGTTAGGAGGGATACTGGAAGATAAGATGTGTTGCTTTTCTAGTGTGTATATTTTTAGCAATGTCGTACTGTAAACAAGTTACGCTTATGACTCTCTTGATCTGCTTCATGAGATTAAGCAGAGGCAGTCATCTTTCTAGGCTTTCCTGTATACTTCCTTCATTGTCATTTCTCAACTCTGATGCTAGAGAGCTGGAGTACAGTCTCCTCTCTTGTTACCTCTTTGTCTTAATTTTACAAATCCACTCAGACAATCCCACAGTTTTTGTCTGCATAGTTCAAAGCAGAGCTTCCTAACAATTCTGTCCCTGAAACATGCTTAATTTTTCCTATATCTGTCCTTGGACTGTAGTATTTGGATTGAAATTGTACTTTCACTAGTCTCTTATTTTCAAGAGTGTGTGATCTAAGCACTTAAGTGAGCTTTGCTCTGAGATATAATTACCCATGCTTGCTTTCAATTGGAAGCATCCACTGAAAACTATGGATGGAGAATTCAGTAGCTTTGAATGGCAGAATGTCTGTGTGGGCAAAAGTTTCTTTACAGTAATTGCTTTGCCTTAGAATCAGTCTTTTCTGTGTGCTGAGAACTCAAGGGGGAGCAGTGTTCAAGTCAAAGCTTAGGGTGAAGTGTATTAAGAAACATCTCCAGTTGAAGCAGCTGGAAACCAAGAAAGGAGAATTGTAGTCTTCCTGAACTTCACTGTTAGGAGATCAACAGAGGTATATAGGTTTCCTGGCACATATTCAGAAACTACAAGTGGTTTCTATAGCAACAGAAATGAGAATGAAAATATAGTGTCATCTTCTCTTCCTAAGATTCTTCAGCTTCACATGAGCCCAAGATCAAGGAAGCAAATACACAGAGTCACAGAGCAGAGAGGGACACATGTTCCTTTTAGCCCAGCAGATGGCTCGCAACTGGAACCTGTTGGAAAGGCTTCACTGGAGAAGAGATCAGGAGTACTGGTGCACTTGTGCATTTCTGTGATTTGAGGCAGGGGGGAGATTGAAAAATAAATCCTCTTCACTTCTGCAGTGTTCTTTGGAATAGAGAACTAATATCATTTGTAGCTCCTGTGTGGAAACAAAGTCCATATAATTGCTGTTTTAGAAGTTTGATTCTCTGGCTGGCTGTTTCCAAAATGTGAGTCAAACCCTCACAAACAAGATTACCAAACATTTTATGTCTAGCAGTAACGATGGCTTTCTTTGGAGAGTTTTAGTTTTAAACCCTTTACTGTACATATAATTTGCATTTCCCAGAGGTTGGATGGAAAGTCTTCATTACCCTCCTGGTTCTGCCAGGAGTGACTTTTCAGGTCGGCAGAATGCAGAGGACAAGGCCACTTTCCTTCTTGGGAGCACAAGCGGACATGATTTGAGTGCCTGGGAAAAGGAGAGAAATGGAGATAGTTATATCTGGCTGGACTCCAAGATAAGGAAAGAATTTTGATAGGCAATTGGAATGTCAGTCAGATTTATGTCTCCTTGGATTTGGGTCTGTCAACACTGCCAGGAGGAGGAAGACCTTTGTCTCACATAAAGACATTCACATGGCAAAGATGGACACTAATATGCAAAGTCCTATAAACTTCCTTTGCATCAGCTACTTTGGCAGGTGGTCCCAAAGGATACATTGAAGATCCAAGTTGTCCTTTGTCTTCTGTCAATGGCTGTTTACACACCAAAGGCCGTATTGACTTTTCATCAAACACACAAGCAGGTGCCTGGCTTCTCTCCCCTCTTTCCCACAAAGGACTTGTCCAAGCAAAGATCATGTTATTAGATAGCAGGTAACAGGCTTTCACTTACCGAGTATTCCAAGGATTAAGGCTGACCTTTTCTTCTTAGAGTCACGCTAGGTTTAAACATAAACTAGGCAAAATGGTTTTGTTTTTAGCTTCTTTTCTTTTTAACTTCTCTGTTAAAGCTTTCTTTTGTACCACAAAGGACAAATATATCTTTGGGGCACCTAAAGAAGTTTTGGAAAAATTGAAGTTTTGGTCCTGTAGCTTTATGGTAGCCCCAGAAGAATCGCCTTACTAATTTCACAGCATTGTCGTTTGGTTACTTGCTTTTAAAAATTACAATCCCACTCTTCTGCTTCTGTTTGATTTACCAACTTGAAATGCTAAGTCTCCTGGTCTTCTCTAGCTCCTGTGATTTCCTAGGGGTGGGAAACTTGGCTTTCAGAGGAGGAGCAGAAATAAGAGAAAGCAAGCTCAAGCGACTACACTAGTTTAGCTTGATTAAAACGACCTCACTCTTTTCACCTGGAGTCCCTTCCTTAAGCACCAGCAATTATCCCATGGTTTGGCACAGAAAACCCCTGGGACTAACAAGGCTGTGGTCTGTGTATAACAAAGTGCCTGAGATAAGCAACTTGTAGAGAGAAAAGCTTTATTAGACTCAGAGTTTTGGAAGTTTCAATCCATGATTGGTTGGCCCCATTACTTAGAGTAAGGTACACATCATGGCAGGGGCATGCCACAGAACAAAGTTGCTCACCTCATGGACAGGAAGAAAAAACAAAACAAGGGTGAAAAGGGCCATGGTCCCACAGTCCCCTTCAAGGGCATACCCTCAATAACCTAAGGACTGCCCCAGGGCCCCTCTTTTAAAGGTTCCACCACCCACCTTCCAGTGGTGCCAACCTGGGGACCAAGCCTTTCATACATGGGCCTTTAGGAGACATTCAAGACCGAAACAATAACAGTCTGAGTATCTTAAACTTTGAGACTATTGCTTTCTTCTGTACCCGAACTTCCCTCATACTCCACGCCCATATGCCTGCTCTATAAAGAGTTCTGTCAGCAAAATTGTTCCAGCAGAAGGTGCTTCACTTCATAGGTCTAGGAGCAGAAGTGACACAAATTTGCATCTTGGTATGGTGAAAAGTTTGAGCAGACCAGGATCTTTCCAGAGCTGGTTTAAACCTATTTCCATCAATGATATTTATTAATCTTCCTGGACTCCTTTTTCTGGCCAATCAGTAACTTTCCCAGAGGAAAATTTGAGATTTGAAAATTCTGGATCCTAAATTGACTCAATATTTCTTTTTTTTAATCATTTTAGACTTTAATTCACTGATTCAAACATATTTAAAAACTCCAACAATCAGAAGAGACATATACAACATATATATTCTATAAGTATTCACTTTCCATGTTCAACAGATAATAACACTTTCCAGAATTTCCTCCAGATTCTTTCATTAGAAAAGAAGCAAAAACCAATAAAAGCAAAAAGCATTTGACAAAATACAACGTGCATTTATGACACAAACCCTAGAAAAAATTGGAATAGATAGTCACTACCTCAATCTGATAAAAGCCATCTATGAAAATCCGACAGCCA